CACCAAACCCTAAACACAAAACCCTAAACCCTAAACCCTAAACACAAAACCCTAAACCCTAAACCCTAAACACAAAACCCTAAACCCTAAACCCCAAACCCTAAACCCTAAAAACCTAAAGCAAAAACACAAAACCCTAAACCCTAAACCCTAAACCCTAAACCCTAAACCCTAAACCCTAAACCCTAAACCCTAAAAACCTAAAACAAAAGGGACCCTGGGGTTCCTCAGGCAGGTCTGGACGAGGAGGGAGCCGACTCCGAGGCGGCTCTGTCGGAGTTCCGGACGGAGGCGGGGGGTTTAGGGGTTTAGGGTTTAGGGTTTAGGGTTTAGGGTTTAGGGTTTAGGGTTTAGGGTTTAGGGTGGGGCAGGCATCAGAGTTTAGGGCTTAAGGGGTTTAGGGTTTAAGGGGTTTAGTTTAGGGCTTTAAGGGGTTTAGGGCTTCAGGGTTTTGGTGTTCAGGATTTAGGTTTTGAGGCTTTGAGGGTTTAGGGTTTTTAAAAGGGTTTAGGGTTTAGATTCGGGGTTTTAGGGTTTAGGTTTGAGCGGTTATGGTGACCAGGGTGCCTTAGAAGATATACTACAAGAGTGTTTTAAGGGTACTATCCGGGCCCCTGCACGGTAAGGTACTTTAAGGGTTTCTCTGAGGGTCAGGAGTTCGCAAGGGCGAAAGTTTAGTTTAAGGATCCTTCAGTGTGCCTTTAGCCTTCAAGGTTTCTATATAATAGTCATCTAAGAGAGCTTGTAATATCCCAAAAACCCTAAACCCTAAACCCTTGTAAGGGTCTAAGTACGAGGGTTGTATGAGGGTACCTGCAAGGCTACAGGATGTGAGGGGTATCGGGTTCCGTCAAGGGATCCATACCGGGCGTTGAAAGGAGGTTTCGGGGCTTCGCAAGTATTTACCAGCCCCCACAAACCTGGCGTGGCCAGGCCAAGCCATGCTGCCATGAACCGGACGGTTGAGCGCATTTGGTGTTCAAGAGTTAGGGTTTAGGGTTTAGGGTTTAGGGTTTAGAGTTCGTGGTACCGATAGGTGATACTGCGAATCCTCGGTGACTGGAAAAAAAAGGAGCCCGAAACCCTAGCTAAGCACTGGACCCCAAACCCCGAGCCCTTAGTGATGCCTTCTGGACCCCTTAAGAATCCTAAGCCGTCAACCCTGTAAAATCTCGTGATGCTCTACAACCGTTATGAAACCCTTACATGCCCTGTAAACTCTGATAGAGCTCTTATAGAGCCCTTGTAATGCTCTTATAGAAACCTTATTATAGGGTTAAGGGTTTAGGATACTATAGAATATTATTTCTTCCAAGCCAAATGTTTGCAGCACCAATAGCAGGTTGAGCTTATGAAATCCCTCGACCATCCGTCCATCTGCCGGCTTCTCCAGGCAGTGCAATGTATTAGGGTTTAGGATCTAGGTTGTATGAGGTTTTGGGTTTAATCTGTTTGAATGGTGGGTTTTGCAAGCTATTATAACGGTTTTGTAGGGCTATACAGGGGCTCTATGAGGGTTCTCTATATAGGGTTGTAGAGGAGCCAATGAAAGTGGGGGAGTGCCTCAAGGTTCCGCCGTAGGGTTTAGGGTTTAGGGTTTAGGGTTTAGGGTTTAGCTCGTTACCATCATCGCCAGCGCCGTCACCACTAGCGTCATCATGGCCATCGCGACTTAACCACACCTCTGTAGTCTTCCGCGATGTGGTCCACCATCCCATTCGTGATTGACTCTGGACTTGCGTCCATGGTTAGCCCGGGCCTTGTGCCCGAAAGTCCAAACCTGAATGAATGCGTGAACCCCACAAGTCTCGAGACTTGAGTCCTGCATTTCACACCCTACAGCCGGACGCGCTAAATATTATTATCGAAGTCTTGAGCCTTACAATCTGAAACCTTCCACAGCCATAACCCAAACTCAAAGCTCTTGCGGCAAGCAAAGTCATTCTAATTTCTTGTCCAGCGCGTGACCTTCAACCCCCCAAGCCCCAAAACGATAGACTCCTAAGAACTAAGCCCGAGGGTTTTAGGGCTGAGCGGTTTCCCCGATTCTTCAAGAGTACTCTAAACCACTGTAAACCCTCAACCCTAAACTCTAAACTAAAAACTTTTCTGAGGTCTACGAGGATCCCAAAAACTTGTACCTCGTCATGGAGCACATTCAGGGGGGAGAGCTGCTTCCTGGCGACATTTCATTGTTCTAGGGGCCTTCATAATTCCAATGGGTGGTTCAAAAGGGACCATAATTTTGACAACTACCCCAATAGGTTGTGGAGGTATCTCATGCTCGCATCTGAGAGTGGTCACTTGGGAATTGTACGTCTGCTGCTGGAAGCTGGGGCTATAACAGATAGATGACTGCAAGACAGCTTTGGCACTTGTATGTGAGAAGGGCCACTCGGCTGTAAGAGTTCACAAACTTCCAGCAACGACTGTGCAACTTCCGAGTGAGTCGGAAGATGCACGTGTGTTGCTGGACGCTGCTGAACACTTATAGTACCCGTATCGGAGCACATAGAGCTGGCACAACACAGCGGATGCTTGCCTGCATCTGCCAGAGGCCATTCAACACCCTTGCAGAGGCCAAATTTCTGGCAGGGTTCTGGTGTACTATACTGGAATACCTTTTTCGTACCTGTTCCTTAAAGCAAACTTTTGCTCCCTGGTCGTTTCAAACTCGATCTTCAGAGACCTTATAGAGTGGGTTTAGGGTTTTGGGTTTTAGAGATTTGTGGCCATGCATAAACCCTGAAGCCTCAAGCGAACACCCTCGACGCGGAACCTGCATGCTGAGGTACTTGAGCAGGCAGCCGTGGCGTTAGGAAACATTATAGTTGTCAAAATAATGGTCCCTTTTGGGGTACCCTAAATAATAGGTGCCGTATTATCATAAGGACCCAAAAAGGGACCACAATTTTGACAACCACCCTAAAAAGTAAGCTCATCTAGCCCGTGACAGGAATTCGTTAATCCCAGTTATGTGTAAACCAACCCCTAAACCCTAAACCCTAAACCCTAAACCCTAGACCCTAAACCCTATGGCTCAAGCCATTTTGGCTCAAGTGCCCCTTTCAGTACCTGAGATAGCTCTTGTGCCATGTCTGCGGTCGATGTCGAGATTCCTGGCGGGGGTGAATGGTCTCCTACCAGCGTCGTGGAAGACTTGGAGGGCAACGTCTTTGAGGATGGCGTCGGCGTCCCCGAGGTCGAGGAAGTCGAGAGTGGTGTGGGTACAGAGGGCGTCGGAAAAAGGAAGCGACGGGTCGGTGAAAGGATGGGTGAGATGGATGACAGCCCCTCGAAGCGTGGACATGGAGGGACCCTTACAGCAGATGAGATGCGCCAACTGCTGAGCCAACACATGATGGAGATGAAGGAGGCGTGGGGTCACCTAGAAAGACGGGTTGACAGAGTCGAGGGGACGGTCGCTGGACAGAAGAAGGAAATCAAGGCGGTGCATGCGAGACAGAAAGTCATGGACCAGCAACTTCAAGGAGTACAAGCAAAGGGAGATGCAACGTCCCGAAGGGTTGACTCCGTTGAGGGTGACATTGCTAGTCTCAAAGCCAAGATTGATGAAATTAACCTCTCCCGTGCGGGGGAAACAGGCGAAGGACATCCCATCGATCCATGGGGGGACTACCTCAAGAACAAGAACTCGGTGATGGCACAAGGGACGGCACAGGGTGATGATAAAAAGAATGGACTTAGCGAAGAAGATCAGAGATCCTTGATTGTGGGAGGGTGGCTGCCTGACACCCGGCGATCCATCATTGAGGAAGAGGCCAAGGAGATCTTTGCCAGGGACCACTTTGTCGACCTGGTAGACACCACGAAGCTTGTTATCTTTGGTCCTCGACGCAGTTTCGGCCTCCTTCGGTTTAAGCTTAGGGAGGGTGAATCCCCGGCAGACCTCCGCACAAGAATGTGGCAAATCATCACCAAGGTTCGAGAGGATAAGCTGCCCCTTGCCAGCACCCAAGGAGAAGATGGCGTCCCCAGAAACATGTGGACTTCCTTTCTCAAAACACCCGAAGCCCGTAAGCGTTCGGCATTGTGCTCCCTCACTCGCTGCATTGTCATCCAGATTGCTTCCAACGTTCGGGACGACGCAGGGAAGATCCGCAATCCGAATGCGGCCTCCTCTGAGTTCTTCGATGTCGATTGGAGCACTGGGACGATTTGGAACGGGATCCACAAGATTGCCAGCGCCACCCACAGAAGGGACGCCAATCGCCAGGACGACTTCCTGCAACTACGATTGGGATGGGTTGACATCAGGGCGGTTGCGGTGATCACAGGTGCACCTTGGGCCGACGTTACCTCGGCATTCCAACAGGAACCATGAAGATTGGGGAGGAGTTTCACCACCGTGGCTCCCGAAGAGGAACGCACGGTCATCGCTGTCTCGAACTGGAATTTAGGTGAGGAGGTTGCACGTTCCGCAGGCGCTGGTTGGACCGAGGTCGAAAGCGATACGCACTTTTGGCTTACGCGCAGAGGAGCTGACCAGTGGCGTGGGACCGGGATAGGAATTTTTGACTCCGTCATTGCTCGCAAGTGCACCAGTCGGGGAATAGCAGTACTTGCCAAACTCAAGAATCGTGGACGTGTTGTCTTGGGCTCTCTTCATGCACATACGGGGGTGACCAACAAGATTTATCAGCAGGCAGTGGCTGAGTTTATGCGTGAAATCGGGGGAAAATGGAGACGCTTACCGTGCATTCTGGGCGCCGACCTCAATGAGGAGGTTGTTTGGACAGGGGGAGAAGTGGAAGACAGAGTTGACATTGCATCAGGGTCCGCAAATCTCAATTACATGCTGGGACTCGCCACGCAACAAGGATGTCGGCCAGTCGCACCTATTCAGCAACACCGGAACCTTCCTACTCACTACCCGAGAGATGAGACGAGACAAGGCAGACACATTGATACTATTTGGGGGCGTGGACTAGCAGTGGGTGAGGTTTCCATTTACCCTGAGATGCGTCATCGAATTGGGACCGACCATGCCCTTCTGTCTGTTCCCCTTCTTCTCAAACGACATGCGAACCGATGGGACAATGATTCTAGGCCACGCTATGTCGCTGAGGAGCTGCCTGATAAACCACTGATTGATGTGGATGATATCGTTGACCTTGGAAAGAAGTACACTCGGCCCCTCCGTGGAGTTCGATACTGTGACCCCCCTGATGTCCTTGATCTCATTGTTGATGCCAAGAACCCACCCTACTAAACAGAAGTGGAAAGCCGTACATCGTGCTCGTCGCCTTGCTCGCAAGGCTTGGGAGCAAGACAGGATTGCGCGCATCTTGCAGGGAGATTGGGTCGCTTACCGGGCCAGAAAGAGACAGAAGTCCAAACGTTCAGGATGGTGGGGTAAGATGCTGGAAAATTGCACTGATCAAGAACTCACGTCCGACACCTGCAAACATTTCACTGGAAAGCTGTATGGGCCAGATGCCGAAGAGTGGGATGCTGAACTCACTGCATGCCAATATCAAATACCCATTGAGACCCACTGGACGCCATTTACCCTTGATGAAGTGAGTGCCCAGCTTGCCTGTATGAAGCCGAGATCTTCGGTTGGACCTGATGGAGTGGGGGTGTCCTTGCTTCGAGCCTTGGCCACCCACAGAACTCTCTCTGAGGACTTCCTGGGTATCATTAATCACATCATCTACACCAACGCCTCGCCTGATCACTGGCGTACTTCGTTGCTCGCGCTCCTCGCCAAAACCGAACAGCCCAAAGGACCAGCTGACCTCCGACCGATTGCTATGTCTTCTGCACTACAGAAACTCGTTGTGCGCCTTGCTATGACTAGGACCTTCCCGCTCCTCAGATCTGCGACCGACATTGCCTGTTGTGGTAAAGGGAGACAGGCAGCTGACTTTGTTGGATGTTTCACGAGACTACGTGACATTTCCAAGGAGTGGAGGCTGCCGCTCTTGATTGTCAAGCTTGACATCAGAGGGGCGTTTGACGCCCTAACGAGAAGGAGTGTTGCCCACTATCTCATGCGCAAACTCGCACATTGTGATGTAGGAAGGGAGACACGCTTCCTACTTGAGCAACTCCGCTCCAACCTTCTTGTTGGGAAAGTACCTGGGGGCCATGACATTGAGGTGCAATGTACCAGTGGCATTCGTCAAGGGGCCCCGGAATCAGCGGAATTGTTTGCGTTGGTACTTCAGGAGGCACTTGAGACGATGATGGAGCAGTCTCAATGGAGTCAGCTTGACAAACCCATACGTGACCTCGATGTGGAACTACTTATGTATCAGGACGACCTCTTTCTCTGGGAGGTTGACGTTCGCAGGCTTGAGTCCAAACTTGCGCTCATCAATGACTGTTTGAAACAACTTGGCCTCCAACTTGCCACTCGTAAAACTGCCATCACATGCACTTCTGACTATGTCGGACCCCGTACTGTTCATCTTGCGGATGACACCATCAGTGTCCAACCCAGCCACGAGCCGATGAGGGTGCTTGGCCTCAACTTTACCTTTGATGGGAACCAGAGCATGCAGGCCAAAGAACTCATAGCCAGAGCCAGGGCTGCCTTCGGTGAACACAAGGAAATCCTCAGGGGACATGGCTCCTGGCAGAATAAGCTCTTTGCGACAAAGATGCTAGTTGAAGGAGCCATCTCCTGGGTCGCGGGGGCGGTGTACTGGAGCCCGGAAGATCTTTCGACCCTTAATGTTCTCCAGCTTCACATACTGCGTGATATCTTGCGTGTCCATCGACAACCAAACGAACCTTGGGTCGACTACAACCAACGTTCACTCAGAACAGTCAGATTATGGATGCATGACCGTGGCTGCGAGCGCTGGAGTACGAAAGTTAGAAGACTACAATTTGGTCTTGCTGGACACTGGGTCCGTCAACAAGAAGATGACGGGCGTGGGGTTCAGGGCAAGTGTGGGTTGGCTGCAAGGTTCCTGAATTGGCGATCCTTAAAATGGTGGAGAGGTCAACAGGCCATCACCCCCCGCGCTGGGGGCGTGAGACACCCGGGCACCTTTTACCCAGCCAACCTGGAACGTGAAATTGCCGAAGTGCTTGGGGTCGAATGGCAACTGAGTGCGATGAATCGTGAAGAATGGGGGGAGCAGCTAAATCACTGGCTTGCTCGCTCTGATCTTCGCTGGTGTAAGCTCCGACAACCTGCCATACTTTGTTAATTCCTATGTTGTGACACGGACTCTCCCTGCGATCTCATTCCTTGGCTCCTTTGTGAAGCTATTTGCTGAGTGTGGAGCTGCTGATGTGAGGTTGTTCCTTTGTTCATGTTGCAATTTCTCGCCGTGCTCAGTACTTTTGATCGAAAATTTCCGAGCTCGACACCGTCCCAACTGCAGCAATGGTCGCCCTCGCCCTCCTGCTTGTGACGATCGGCTGCTGGCGACTATCCTCGATGCTCTTTCTCGGGGGCTTGTGTGGTCCCTCACCTTCGGTGCTTCCTTTGCCTTTGACGACGTCCTCGGCAACCACGTCAATACGCCTCCCTGAGATGATGCAGGTCGACTTGGAGGAGTCCTTCGAAATGGGCATAACCGCTTGTGCAGCCTTCTGGGATGGGAATCTGTCCTGGGACGCTGGCTCCACAACGTTGACCTCTACTTCTTCTACCTGGGTGACCTCGCTGTCGCTTTCCGACACACCCCCCTCGAGCTCATCGTTGATGTCTATGCGGCCAACACCGACCACGCCTTCGCACACCTTGCCCCATGAGCCTTGGGTCGATTTGTCGCCCCTCCTCTCCGTCGTGGCCGCCAATTCATGGGTGACATGGGTGTCTTCTTCCTGGGAACCGCCAACTATGTGGGCCACATCTTTCGTTCAGAATGCATGGTTGGGGGACGTGATAGAGTGGATCGTGGGTCTTCCCTCTCTCTGGTGGATGACTTTCGCCGGCTTGCCTCCTCCTGCTACTATGCCCACCACTTTGTCGTTTGTTGGCGTGACCTCTTCCTGTACTCCCTGGGACGATGTGTGGACCACGTGGACTTCCTGCTGGACAACCTGTCGCTGGACTGCCTGGATGGGCCCTCTCGTGGAGATGTTTGTGGGTGACTTGCCGTTTGGGGCTCTGCATTCATGGACCACTTGCGCCACGACGATGCCATCGTGCTCCTCCGCGTGGGATGATGGATATGACATGATGATGATGTACTGTGCCCCTACGACCACCACCACTTCATCCTCGACGGACCCTCAGTTCCCGGTGGTTGATGTGGGACAGACCGACATGGAGGATCAGGTTGCCAGCGGACTTCCATCCTCTACTCCGGTGAGTGCAGGTACGCTCCAGGACTTTACGCTGCAAGAGCTCATCGACGCGAATGTCTTAACGGGCGTCAACCCAGCAGGACAGACTGAGTCTCCTCTCCTCGCCTCCCTCAACCAGTCCCTACCGGAATTTGCTCTTGTCCATGAAGAAGCTGCCAATCGGCCCCGGGGAGTGGACCCGGCCTACGACATGCTTGCAAGGATGACACAGCAAATATTGGGGGACACCTACAACGCGGGATGGCACGGCCACGGCCCTACAGTTCGGTGGGCGACCACGACTGCTGTTCATGAATTCAGGGCCATCGCCGTGCTACTTGACCGACTGGCGGGGATGATTGTGCATTCGATGCGGCGACCGAGAGAGGAGCCACGCACTAGTCCTCCACTTACAGCGCAGTCCTATGAGCTCCACATACAATGGTCCCGTCGATGGCGGGGATTTGTGGCCCAGATTGTCCACCAGGCGCTGGAGCAGTCTAACCAGAATGCGGCAGAGGCCATCGCTGCCCTTCGGGACCGGGAGGTGCACAACAACAATCTGGAGAATGCCAGGCGCTTGCAGGAAATGCGGCAGCCCTTGCCCAGCGGACCGGAGGCCAACCTTGGGGTGACTGTCTCAAGGCGCCCTTTGGGTATCCACGCTGGTCACAAGCGAAGCCATGAACAAATGAGCCAAGCGACCACCTCTGGGGCGTCATCCTCACATGATCCTCCTCCGGCCTCGCTGGTTGTCCCGGCCCGACCGCCTACTACCTCGGGGAGACCTGGCTCTGGGGTGCCTGCTGGTTCTGGGGTGCCTTCTTTGGATACACCAAGGCCGAGGCCGATGATGAATCCGACGACACCGTACTTAATACCTTCGGCCCCGGGGTGGAACATTGAGGTGACGCCGCAATATGCGAATGTACCAGATGTGGACGACGTTCTCGCTGAGATCATGAATACCACACCCACCTCGACAATCCTGGTAGCACATGTGGGGCCGACTGAGATGGTATCTTCCTCTACTACCACCTCGCTGGTTGCTGCGGTTACGGGGGCGACTCCAGGCGGTGTTGTGGATGACTACCTGGAGGGTGCAATTCATGGCGGAGCAGATTCGGGAGTTCGACCGGCACGGGAAGATGTGGTTGAGGAGGAGGCCGCACTTGAGGTTGGTGAGCCAGAGGATGATGGGAGAGGGGTTGGTCCTGTTGAGGCTCCCCGCTCACCAGGTGGGATGATGACAGTTGGCTCACTTCCACTCCCTGGACGTGCTGAAGCGCTCGCGCAGCGCATTGCATACCTCATCCTCCGCGATCTCTTGGCCATCCTGGATGATGCTAGTACGATGACTTCAACATCGAGGACGCCGGTCCATCCCGACACCGACTCTATGGGTCCACTGGAGTCTCCACAGCAACAAGTACAACCTGGTGATGTCCTGGATGGTCCCCAGCATGACTCCGATGGTGACATGGTTATGGCTGTGGATGAGGATGTGGATGAGGAAACGCAACCGGCCGTGGACTATGCGTCGTCTAGTGCCTCGTGACTACCTGGGAAGTGCAGAGCTACTCTGTGATGCGTTCGTTGTCCAGTGCGGAGTGCTGCGTTGGTCTATGTTCTACCACGTCGTGATCCTTGTTGTCTTTTCGGGTGTTCTTTACCTGGCGGAGTGTTTCACCTTCTACGAGCCCAATGGGGCTAGCGCGGAGGTAAAAGTCCGACTATCGTAGATCAAAAAAAAACCCTAGACCCTAAACCCTAAACCCTAAACCCTAAACCCTAAACTCAAACCCTAAACCCTAAACCCAAAACCCTAAACCCTAAACCCTAAACTCAAAAATTTCTCTGAGACTCTGAGCCTCAGGGAGTATCGGCCCAAATTTGTTCACCCCTGTTTAGAATCCGGGTTTAGGGTTTAGGGTTTAGGGTTTAGGGTTTATAAGGGTCTAGGGTTTAGGGTTTAGGGTTTAGGGTTTAGGGCTTTTGGCAGCTTATCAAACCCAAGGAAGCATCCAAGAAGTTGCAATCCAGCCCGTGAAGAAACCATGCATGACCCTGAATTTCATTTGGTTTGGAAGCCCAGGAGCCTTCATCCCTAAATCCTGAACCCTAAACCCTGAACCCTAAGCCCTAAACCCGAACCCTAAGCCCTAAACCCTCAACCTTGAATCCTGCATAAGCAGAATGCAACATCCTCAGGGCTCCTCATCCTATAACGTGCTCAGCCTTAAACCCTAAACCGTAACAAACCCTAAGCCGCAAACCCTAAACTTTACATTTGCATACATTCAGACAGTGTGTGTATATATATATATATGCCTTTAAATGGGTTGGGGTATGGGTGTTCAGATAAACCCTTAACCCTAAGCCCGAAACCTTAAACCCTAAACCTTAAATCCTAAACGCTACACCCTGAACCCTAAACCCTAAAAACCCTGAACCTTGAGTCCTAAACCCTGAACCCTATAAACCCTAAGCCCTAAACCCCTGAACCCTAAACCCTAAACCCTGAACCCTAAACCCTAAACCCTAAACCCTAAACCCTAAACCCGACACCCACTTCCGGAAGCTGAAGCTTAGGTTCAACTACGTGGTGGAGCGGGGTCAGCTCCACGAGCACGAGGTCCCTGGAGTTTAGGGTGGAGGGCCTTTGGGTTTAGGGTTTAGGGTTTAGGGTTTAGGGTTTAGGAGGATTTGGGGGTTTAGGGTTTAAAGTTTAGGGTGTAGGCCCTTTGGGTGTAGGGCCTTTGGGTGTAGGGCCTCAGGCCTTTAGGGCCTTAGGCCTGTAGGGCCTTTGGGATTAGGGTGTAGGGCCTCAGGCTGTACGGTGTAGGCTTTCGGATTTTGGGGCCTGAGGCTTTCGGGCCTTTGGGTTTCGAGGGTTAGGGTGTAGGGTTTAGGGTTTAGGGTTTACGCTGGAGGGTGTAGGGTTTGCCCTAAACCCTAAACCCTAAACCCTAAACCCTAAACCCTAAACCCTAAACCCTAGGGTTTGGTGGATTCAAAGCCTCAAACAGTGTCTGAGGGGAG